GGCGTTCCCCTTCTTCGGGGGGTCCGCCTCCCTCGCTTCCTGCATCTTCTGCTGGGAGGGGGCCTTTCCCTTCTTTTTCTTCTTCTTCTTTTTGGCCCCCCCCGCAGCATTCGCGTCCTTCTTCGGGGGGTTTACCCCCTTGGCTCCGCTCCCCCGGTCGGCCCCGGGAACCGGGCGGCCCCACGCGGCGCCCCCTTCTCCCCTTCGAGGGTCGGAGGGGCCCGCTGCAGGGCCGCTATCACGGGCCCCGCCGCCGACCAAGGACCGGATCGTCTCCTCCATCCTCTGGAGGGACTGGGCAACCACCTCCTGAATCCTTCTCTCCACCATCTCCCCCGTGAGCTCCCCTGCCTTCCCAGGCAGGGGCCTCCCCGCCTGCTTCCGCGGGGGGAGTTGTTCGCCCCTAGCGCACAATGAACAGATGACAGCCTGTCCGCGGTCGCTATGCATTTCCATTTTGCACTTTGTGCAAAGAATACTGCTCGAGACGTCTATCTTTCGCTTCTTCTGTGTGTTCCCTCTCCCTCCTCTTCTTCATCCTCTCGCACCCTCTTCGTCTTGCCTACGTCTTCGCACTGCTGAACACTAAAGTTCAAATCACTACGTGATGTTATATTTATTTAGTTCTATTATATTTATTTTAAGTCAATTACCTCGCGTTCAATTGTACATTCTGCTCCTCGAGAGCCTGCTCCAAGTCTTCCTCTGTCTTAAGTGAATTTAAAATTTCATCAGGCAAATACGTATTTCTTATGCTGTTTTTTATCGGTCCAAGTAGAGCTTCGTACGGGCTTCTGTTTATGACTCTATGTCGCGATGTATTCTTTTGCCACTTAAATCAATATGTAAAGTATGTAAATTATTTAATTGTATAATATTAATTTAATTGTATATGTGAGAGCCATTACTTGGACTTCGTAGCAACCACGACTCCAATTTGTCGAATCATTATCGATCATCCAGGCTCTTAACATGTTTTCAACGTCCGCATTTGACCTTTCGACACTACCTTGGCTCTGTGGGTGTCGCGGACGCCCATGAACAATCCTGCAGTGAGGCCAGATGGAAACAAGTTCATGTATTACTGCAGCCATTCTCGACCGTTATCGCTCTGTAAAATAGTCGGGGCTCCCCATGTAAAGAAGATTTTCGACAATTCTTCAGCAACGTTAACTGCGTGCTTGGATCTCAAGGGTCGAAGGTGCAAGAATTTGGTAGCGTGATCTTGGTAGTTCAGTAGCCAATTGAACTCACCATCGCGACACGATTGGAAATCAATTAAATCCACCTGTCCGCGAACATTAAATCCATCGCTCAATATCGGTTTTGTCACAACTCCTCGTTTTGGAGCAACCCTCTTTCTGTTACATGTCTCGCAGCAAGACACAAATATCTCACAAGCCACCTTTGTTATCCTCTACTTTTCTTTAATGTAATACTGCATCTTATCCCTTCCGCCATGGCCTGTTTGAATGTGAGCTTCTAACAATTTATCGTAGTAATCCTCCATCGGTGTTACGTAAATAACTAGTTCATTCGAAGTTTTCCGTTTTAAAATTACATACGATTCCGTTCCAATTTTCGCTAGCTCATACGTCTTCGCGTAATGATAATGAGACACTGTCTTTTTCGTACTTGGATCCTGAATTTCTTGCAGAACTTTTATAACCTTCATCATTTGATCTCGCTTCCACACTGATCGATTACTACCTGGACGATTTGAATAAAATTTATCTATTTTTTCGTTAAACTCATCGCGGTTTACTGGCGTATAACTTGCCATGGCTGTGCTTGATCGCGAACTAACGAGAGAAATTGAATATACAACGAGCTCTGTGATGATGTACTTAAGACCTATTTGGATATTTACAAACAATAAAATGACGACGCATTTTCTAATATATTTATATTTCTCCTTTGTATACTAAAGGGTTATCCCGTAAATAAAGATTTATTATTATTAGTAAATAAATTGACAACGCATCGAGCCTCACAACAAGCATTTCCCTAATCGCCTAAAGCGCGCTAAGCCGTTAGGCGAAAGCCGACTTGTCGTCTAACAGGCTGAATTTTTCAGGCCATTGGACTATATCGTCGTCGATTAGCCTAACGGGTGGCATTTAGCTAAACGCCTAAGCTTTTAGCTAAATAACTAATTTCGCTATCGGGCTACGACATATACAGGGTGAGTCAGTATAACGTTTTACCATTGAAAATACAAGTTCGGGATAAAATTCTAATTCACCGAAAATTCATCTTAGAATTTTATTCCGAACTTGTATTTTCAATGGTAAAAGGTTATACTGACTCACCCTGTATATGACTTGGTTTTTGGGAGAATATTTTTCGACGCCGAGGGAGATTTTGGGATTCTTGGAGGTCGTCGAGGTCCGTGACTGCTTTGGTGTGCTTGACCTGGAGCAAAGGACGGGTGTTCCTTTCTAGGAGGATGTAGTCCGTGTCCGTGATGGCCGATGATCGCTTCGCCTCGGTTCTTTGGTGCCTGTAAGCTGAAATGTTATAAGGTGACTATGCGCCTGTACGTGCGGCTAAGGGCGCGCGCTAGTGAAGCGACTAAGCGCTTGTGCGTGCGGCTAAGGCGCACAGAGTGAAGCGACTAAGCGCTTTGTGCGGCTAAGGCGCACGGAGTGAAGCGACTCAGCGCTTGGGCGTCTGAAGTAGAGCGACTCAGCGCTTTGGTGTCCGAAGGAGAGCGACTCAGCGCTTTGGTGTCCGAAGGAGAACGACTCGGCGCTTTGGCGTCCGAAGGAGAGCGACTCAGCGCTTTGGTACTGTGGCGATTGAGCGCCGAGGTGAAGTGAAAATGCTCGCATTTTCCTCCTTTATATACTGATGCTGGCGAAATTTCACTCCCGAGAGAATTCGCCGCGTAGCGGCGGCGCCGCGAATTAGCGCGGCCGACCGGAGTGGGGGTGCTAGCGCCAGGCACCTATGTCGGGGGCCGGGCGCCCGGTGCTAAACGTCAGGTGCGCGTGAACGCGTGGTTGTCGGGTGCCCGGCGCCTGTAGCTGCCGTAGGCCGCCACAAATTTTTATTACTCTGCTCCAGTTACATTTGCGTTACAGCACACATTGTGATTATTGTGGTTATAATGACTCTTTTCAGCCATTCTTCCAACGAATTATTATACAGGGTGGTCCATTTTAATCGACAATCGGAAATATTTCGTAAGCCAGATGGAGAAAAATGTTTCAGACAAAAGTTGTATGGTTTCGAGGGGGCCATAAGACGGTACCATTGGTTTGACCTTGAAGAATTATTTGAAGGTCACATAAAGGTCACACCAATTTTTTTAAATGGCATCTCCTATTTTTTATTACTTATTCTTGTAGCTAACCTCGAGAGCTTTCCAAAACACTATAATAAAGTATTTTTTTATTAAGAACTTCTTGAGTTATTAAGGTTTGAAAGTTCCAATATTTTGACGTAAATTACAAAATATCTTGTAAAATATTCATTTTTTTATCATCTTACCTTAATACTTTTTTGAACAGAATAATGATACAAATCAACTGGTGTAAAGAAAACAAACAATTTTGTAACAAGCAAAAAAAATTTTTTTTAAATTGCTAAAAAAAAATGAATATTTTACAAGATATTTTGTAATTTACGTCAAAATATTGGAACTTTCAAACCTTAATAACTCAAGAAGTTCTTAATAAAAAAATACTTTATTATAGTGTTTTGGAAAGCTCTCGAGGTTAGCTACAAGAATATGTAATAAAAAATAGGGGATGCCATTTAAAAAAATTGGTGTGACCTTTATGTGACCTTCAAATAATTCTTCAAGGTCAAACCAATGGTACCGTCTTATGGCCCCCTCGAAACCATACAACTTTTGTCTGAAACATTTTTCTCCATCTGGCTTACCTGACGAAATATTTCCGATTGTCGATTAAAATGGACCCTGTATATTTATAAATTATTGAAATGATTTTCATAATTTTTGTATGTTTTTTACTACTCCACCCAAGTATATTAAATCAGGATTCTTATTGTATTTGTTAAGAAATAATAAATGATGAAAATGAAATTTTGATTAATAGTTTAATTGAATACAATCAATATACATTGCACAAGTATATACATATATTTTTGTTTATTATACACTGGTCAAAAAAATTAACGCAACAAGAAATTTACATCAAAATTTGGCGAATTTCAAATAAGCGTAACTTCGCGAAAACTGGTCGAATTGAAAAGTTTTTTTTTTATTTTATAGGGCAAAGCCTCTGCTTTAAGCTCTTATTGGAATTTGCATTCACTCTTCCCATTTCCCGGAACTTTCTCAAAATCATGACCATGTTTTTTCTTTACAAAATTGCACACTTTGACGCACTGTGCGGAGTGTAGTAATTTTTCTTCGCCAGTTCTGCTTACGGTATCAAAAAGTGTATACTTTTCTCTTCAATTTAAAAAAAAAGTTCCTACGATTTTTTTTCGCCAAATCACAGCTCATTGTAATAACCTTTGTGTTTTCGACATTACCGACGATATCTCCGTTAAAAATCATCGTAGCAAGATCGTTTTTTTTTTAATTAAAGCTTGCACTCTCAGCTTCAAAACTAGTCACCAGATTTTTCCTCGAATGCATCTGCGCTGCTGTAGCTTTTAAAATATAAGGACATGTTTTTACCTAAAAACTAACCAACTTTGGCCAGGTGCCCGGGCGTAGGAAATTTTTCCTCGCTAATTCTGCTCGAAGTATCAAAAAGTGTGTACTTTTCTTTCAATTTAAAAAAAGAAATTACTGCGTTTTTTTTCGCCAAGTTACAGCTTTTTGAAGTAACCCTTGTATTTTCATTCATTACCGTCGACATCAGCGTAACCCAATGTGCACGTGGAGGTTGCCGTTCGGATTTTGCACATCGTGTAGCCCTGAAGAGGGCCAGTGGTGTATTCATATCGAACATACTGGGATATGATGGGAAGAAGGCTGAGTGACTTGTAGGACCACACGATGTGCAAAATCCGAACGGCAACCTCCACGTGCACATTGGGTTACGCTGATGTCGACGGTAATGAACGAAAATACAAGGGTTACTTCAAAAAGCTGTAACTTGGCGAAAAAAAATCGCAGTAACTTCTTCTTTTTTTTAAATTGAAGGGAAAAGTACACACTTTTTGATACTTCGAGCAGAATTAGCGAGGAAAAATTTCCTACGCCCGGGCACCTGGCCAAAGTTG